CCTCTACACACCAGGAGCCCTTTGTGCTCAGCCTCTGCAGAGGTATTATTCCCCAGACGGCCCCATGTTGTGTTCCCTGGCTCTCTGTTTATCAGTGAAGCTTCTCCAGGCGGCTAATCTGAAATTGATCCCCATTCAACATTTCCTATCCCCTTCACTGCTTCATTTGCTCTCCTGAATCTTGGCACCATCTAACAGACTAACATTTTGTTTCCTAGCAGAATGTCAGCTTTAAAAAGTCTAATGTCATTGTCCTCTAGGATGGCATGTATACATATCCATCCTGTAGCTCCAGATATCCTCTGACACATCACCAAGTGTCACTGGTATACATCCACTCCATGTGGAGTAAGGCAGGCCTGGGATACTCATTCCTTCTTCTTTGGCATGGAACAATAAAGTACAGTCTACTCGGTGAGGGCTGTCCATGTCCCTGCCATCATGCCCACATAAATTCAACTACTGGGGCAAAAAGCCAGGCCTGCTCTGCCTAGAATGTCCTCTGATCTCCTTTTCTTCTCTAATTTCCCTTTCACTGCTTCTTCTGTATCATCCCAACTGTCCTTCAGCAGCAATCTCTTCCTCAGTATTCCAATAGTCCCTCCATGTCTATTCTGCAAGCATATTGAGTTATACCTATCTCTAGTGGTCTCTGCTTAACCATGTAGGAAGGGCACCTTAGGAGGAGCTATGCTTTTTTTCCCATCATTTTATTAGACTCCGTACCCAGAAAAGTTAGTCAACACATTGGAGATCCTCAATAAATTCTACTGAGTGGATCCAAATGAAAAGGGATAGAGCAAAGAGAACATAATCCTCTCCGCAGGAAAATGCCATAGACCTAAGACCTAAAGCTACCCAGTGGCTCTTGTATAAACATGACAATTTTTTTACCCCAAAACAAGTAGAGAATATTTTCTCTTCCTAGCTTCTAGGAATGGGGTTCTAATTAAAAATAGAAAGACAAACAGCTCACAAAGTAGTTTCATTTTCAATGTATGTATCATAGAGTTTTAAGTCCCAAAATTGATTCAGTAAGCAGAATAAATTGGACGGAAGACCAGTTATGTCTAATATAGCTCTACTGGTCTACTACATTCAGACAAAACACTAGCATAAGCCTGCTGGCCAAGAAGAATCTTAAAACACAAGCGATATATTCTCTGTGTTAGAAACAGAGATAAACAATGTACATCCCTGTGGAAAGAAAACTATAATATTCATTAGACCCTAACGTGCGTAATAGAGAACTTTATAAAAATGGTTATTAATTGTGTGTGTGTGTGTGTGTGTGTGTGTGTGTGTGCGTGTGTGTGTGCATGTGTTTGTGTAGTGTCAATTCAGGACCTGTGTTCTCACATGGATTTTTCACTCAAGGCTAGCACTCTACCACTTGAGCCACAGATTCACTTCCAGTTTTGGCTGGTTATTTAGATATAAAGAGTCTCGCAGACTTTCCTGTCCAGGCTACCTTTGAACCATGATCCTAACATCTCAGCCTAGGATTATAGGCGTGAGCTCCCAGCTCCCAGCAAAATGTTTATTAATTATGTTAGAAGCAATGAATGCAGGGGCTGGGGGAATAAGCTCTAGAGTCTGTCCACTAAGGTTTGAGTAACATTTCTACCACTGTACACTCTTATAAAATGAAGACTCCTCTGACTCAGTTTCCACCTAAGTTGAATGCAGGTTATAAGGCACCTGTCTCATAAAGGGTTTTTTTTTTTTTGCAAGAATTAAATAAGGTAACACACAAAGAGGGTTAGAACAATGCCTTGTATGTACTGAGTGCTCGTTAAATTTATCTATAACAGTGGCATATAAGTATTAGAGCCTTAAAACTTAAAAATGTCTTCCTCTGTGTTTCTGTAGAGATACCACATTAACTTAAATGTAAATGGAAATTGAAAGCCACACTACTCTAAGTACTTAAGCCCAGCAAAGTTCTATGTTGATTTTTACCACCCCCTCCTCAGTCTTAACTGAGGTCAAAGACACCACATAGGCTTCTGTCATATACACAGCTGTGGCCTTCATCTGCGTTAATCTCTTCCTCCTCCCTCCCAAGCAACCCCACCACAGCATGAAATCAGGTGACGATAATCCACTCAGACGGTGAATATTAATAATGTGGGATCTGAGACCAGATAAGAGTCTCTGTAGGAGACATTGGCCTATGATCTTTATTATCACTCCTCCTCTTCCCTACTCTATACAACAGGAAGACACGATTCCTTCTCTACTAACACAGAGATCTGGCTCTCTAACAACTGAGCCTCACCTGCAACCCCAGCTTCCTGATTTTTTTTTCTGGTGTGGGGGCTTGAACCCGAGCCTGGGCTCTGTCCCGAAGCTCTTTTGCTCAAGACTAGTGCTCTACCACTTTGAGCCGAAGCACCATTTCCAGTTTTTGAGTGATTAATTAGAGATAAGAGTCTCACTGGACTTTTCTGCCCAGGCTGGCTTCAAACCGTGATCCTTAGATCTCAGCCTCTTGAGTAGCTAGGATTACAGGTGTGAGCCTCTGGTGCCCCGCTACTTCCTGATCTTTTATTGCTGTGACACTACTGCCTAATATACCTATTCATAAGGTTTTACTCAATGATAAAATGAGGAAATAAGTGTGTGGGAAAACGCTAGAAAATCCATGAGAATCATATTAATAATTTTAACAAATAATTACTGGAAAACATGAGGAAATTCATGAGAGTTATATGAATAATTCTAACAAATAATTATTGGATCATTTGCCTTCCTCCCTATTTATATGCTGCTCTTGATCCATGAAGCGATGTCATTAGTTGCTTTGATCAAAAGAAATTATATTCAAGGAGAAAAAAAATATATGTTTTACTAAAACTATCTGATTACAGAGGAAAATGATAGGATGATAAAATATAGTCAAAAAGCAGCAAATATCCACAAAGCTAAAATGGATACATTGGACAGACTTTGAACTTTATCTGTGCCCATTTCAAACATAACGTAGCATAAAAGATAAAAATTAAAGAAAATTAAAAGAAGATCAGGGGTCTCCCCAGAAGATAGGTTCTTAACCTATAATGACCTTTAAGTTGTTTTCAGAGTTCTGAATAAATTAGGGTATAACTGGCCAGTGAAATCACTGTCAAACTCAAAGAGTTTCTCCACCATGGTCCTGAAGTTCTATTTTCCCTCTGTCCAAGACTAATCATTTCACTCCAGGTGCTTGTGATGCAACTACTTGAATCAAATGCCCAATAAAGGGATATGGGTAGTGAAAACAAGCCTAAGCTTTTGGACAATTCCCTGCTTTATATGGATTATCTCTTTATGTTTCAACAACATTACTTGATAGGTATTCTTTCCTTGTTCCAGAGAGATCATTTAGGGTTTAACATGACCTGTTCAATTACATATATCCTCCAGTATAACTTATCAAATCCTAGAGTTTAGATTTTTCATAACTGCTCCTTGCTTCCTCCAGAAAGAAAACCAAAGGCCATAAGAATTCTTAACAAGATTTCTAGTATCTCAGAATTAAATGGCATGAAAGAAAAGTGAAGTGAAAATAATCTTTCATAAGATCATGGGAAGAGGTAGCTGTGACAATAATTCATTTCACTGTCAATACTGAGAATGCCACCATTATCTAAAAATAGTGGAGAATTTAGTATATAAGCATATGAACTGCATTTCCCAATGTTTTGTCAACGTATCATAAAAACTAGCAAACGTTTAATAAGTCAAATAGGTAGGATGCAGAAACGTCTGAATGTGGTAGAAGGTAAACAACTCAGATAATGCCAGTTCTAGTGGTTTTCAGTAAAACTTGTACAAAAACTTAGATAAAGTATAGTAGAAAGTGAGAGGGCTACAAACAAGAGATATGAGCATCTAAAGAAAGAGAGGCTGGGTTTTTGCTCTACTCCTATTCAAGGTCCAAGTAGAAGGGGGAGAAAATTAGAGGAATCTGACCAGAAAATTTAAAAAACTAAAAGAAGGCTTGGGGGATTCTTAATGGCAAAATGAAATTAAACTTCCAAGAGCAAACTCTAGGATTAAAGTCCATAAGAATTTTTCCTAAATCTACTATTCCAATTCATTCAGATGTTATAAAACCAAACAGAACATATGGAAGAAAAATAGCTCAGCTGATCATTTTCACCATAGGTAGTTTTCAGTCTAATTTGAATTAAGCTAGACAAGAGAAGTAGACTGTATAGGAAAATGAATGTGTGTCCAATTAATGTATTCAGCAACCAGTTAGGTCTCTCCTTGTGAGGTAAATCTAAGACTTTTACCTCAACTTTGATTCTTAGTTGAATCAATTAATTGTTTTATGTAGATGAACTCTACAACAAAACCACCACTATCTCTCTGAGAAGACTGCCTTATATATAATTTGGGGTTAACCCTTCAAAACAAAACATAAGGACATTGTTTGGCTAATATAAATTAAAACTAAATTCCCTTTTATTCAACAACCTTATTTTCCTGGATGGTCCTAATCTGCTTTGAGTTGAAGTTTAGAAAAATAACAAACACTTCTCCAAAACACAGTTATACCTTGGTGAGGTTAAATATGCATGCCACAAGTCCATCTTTTCTACATTATGCTTGATGGTCACTTTTCCTTTCCATCTCCATATCACACATAACTTCTCAATGGACAATGGTCATCCTAACCATGAGAGCACCCAGTAGGATAACCTCCTGTCCACCAGTGTCCAATGGCAGCTCTACGACAGGAAAAATCAGAGGGCAGACATGCAGGAGAGCGGGAGTAGACAGGATGAGAAGGAACATTGGGAGGACTGAAGAAGGAAGCCATAAGATAGCAGAAGGGATAAAAGAGACCACGCAGAAGGGAGACAGAGATGTGTGTTACACAGCATAAGAGGGCAGCACAGGTCTCCCTAGAGCCTATCAGGAATGCACTACACAGGCTCTCTCCTCTTTCCCTTCCCCATCTTTCCCCTTAAGGGGAAAAGGCGTAACCACTGCTCTGGAGCCATTACCTGGATGAGTTCGTCCAGCTCCGTGGAATTGACACAGGAGTGCTGGGATATGAATGTTTGCTTCTGGATCACAATGGTGGTCCTCTGTGTAATCTCCTGAGGCTGCTCCAGTGCTTTGAACACGGTGGCTCCGATGATCAGGTAGAGGACAACCACCAGGAAAATCGTGGAGACCGTCTTCCATTTCATAACATTAATGGCTGTGTCACTCTCCACCCGGGAAGCAAGCACTGTGGGTTTCGTAGAAAATGAGAGCCTCGGTTTGGAGTTCTGAGCGGCAGATTTAGGATCCAGCAAGTCAGGTGCCGCCACTGACAACAACAGAGAATGAGGGTTAGGTAGGGGAAGATGGGGGACGAATGGGTTGGGCTGCTTCTTCAGGAGTTGTGGTGTCAGGGATTGGCTGAATACCTTTTGCCCTTCTGGTAAAAGGTCTGGAACCTAACACCAGGAGTGCTCTGTCTGGATCACACACACACAAGACCATATATATAGATTCAAGAAAAAGGGGCAGAGCCTTTATTCTCTGCTGCTATTGGAGATCCAGGTAGAAGACGAAAAAAGAAAAACAACAGGAGTCCAATCAAGAAATTTGGAAAAACTTGAAAAAAAAACCCAGAAAGCAAAAAACACTGGAGGGGGCCCCTCATTAATTTTTAAAGTTATATTTATCTACTTCTTAAGTCAAGAAAGATGTCATGAACTTCTAAGACTTGAGGGTATTGAGCAAGATACATGAATGATCATGAAGATTGCTCATGGTTTGTCCTACTTTTACATCACAAGCATCATATGCATATACATAGATATTCTTTATTTTAATTTTAATAGATGTTAAAGGATTTAGTCTAATTGAACCACAAGAGATTTTGTGATCAAACCAGTACTGCTTGAAAGAAATCATTCATAGTTTTCCAAAAACAAATTGTGTAAATCAACTTGGGTCCAATCATAATTTTTTGCCTTTTTTTGCCTATCTTCTAAAGAAAGCTCATCATAAAGCATCATGTTTAAAAAATAAAAGTAATCACTAATTCTGATGGTGCAATCATAGCTGCAGCTAACAAAGGGCAAACTTCTTTCATTTCAAAAAGGAACCTCAAGAAAAATGAAAATCAACATCTTGGTTCACACCTTAGACCCTGGCTTGCTCTGTACAAAGCTAATCGCTCCATTACAGTATATTTATGTGTTCTCTTACAAATTTCCAGATTCTCTGAGGTGAAATCCATTTATTATTTATCTCAGTTCTTCAAAAATATCTTTAATGGATTTCTTTATAGAAAACAAGTCTACTAGACTTCTACTTGCTAAGGGGAAAAGAAGTCATCTACCACAGAACATTTGATTGGAAAGGCAAAATTGAACAACAACAACAAAAAAATGGGTTCATAGAATGGCTAGGAAAATTTTTTTAAATAAGACTCCAAAAAGTACTAATTTGTGCAGAACAAATCAATTTAAAGTTTCTAATTTTAAATAACTTTATTGTCATGTTTATAACATAGGTTTCAGAAAATGGAGCACTTTAGATAGATAAGAAATCTTCATGAAATTGTACTTAGATACCCTAATTATGGGAGGATAAGATGCTGATAAAAATGCATCAATTTTCCTACAGCTACCCACGCTACCCTCTTGCCTAACAGCAAGTTAATTGCAGGCTACCCTAATTTGAGTTCATAAGGCACAACTTCGGTTGCCTATCAACAAATGCTTTCCAAACAAAGCTATTTGGAGCATTAGACAAAAGTAGTGCTGTAAAATGATGACAGATGACAGAGCCTCTTCCACCAGCAATCTCAGAATAGCTCTGACTTAGAAGAGATGAAATCACACAAGGACAGTAGCTCCTCCATGGAGACTCCACATACCTGTAGCGCATCCCAGCCGGCTCCTAAGTTTCCCCCTACCTACATGTACAGGTATGTACATGTTTCCCTCCTGGTGCATACAACTGTTCCCTCCACAAAACCACAAATGAGGAGACACCTTTAAAATATTTTAGAACTGTAACTTCATTCAAAATTAGCACTGAGCATGTGTTTAAAGTCGTAATTAAAAAAAAAAAAAAAACACTTTCCTAATAGAAGTTCTAGCTGTCATCTTTCCAGCTTGCCAACAGTCCCTCCTCCACATGCTTGGTGGAAAAATAAAATAAAATTTAGCCATTTTGGCATAAGAATAAGAGGGAAACACAGAAAACCTCCACATTGTCTCTGCAAGCCTCTCCTGTCCATATCGCTGTGCTCTGCTGTTTCTGATTTTTCACATCAGTGGTTTGTAGTCTGTGGAACTGAAAAACACTTCAACTGTTTACCTTGAGGGTACCAAACCTCAACTGAAATCCCATTAAGATATTGTCATTCTACGCTTTAGGGAGAAAACGACAGATATAATTTTTTTTCAGATCAGAAGTATGTGTGTATTAAGCTTGTATAGATCCAGAAGGAGTTGGATTCTTAAAAGCTGTTGCCTTATTTTTTAATTAGCACAAATACACAGAATGCACATTTGGCAGACAGAATAGGCAGAAACTGTTCGTTCACACAACACACACACACACATGCATACACACACAACACCACCACCACAAAATAAACCGTTTCTCTTGATCTAATAAAGAAACCTCTGGCTCTCCATGCCCAGTGGGACCTGTGATCCAGGTGATCCATTGCTGACCCCTCCCCGACCCCCACACACAGCCCTCTCCTCTTAATCCAGGTCTCCTGTCCTCACCTGTCTGCACTCTGCCCACCACTGACCACGGAACAACAGCAGCACCAAGCTTTCTTCAACACCACCATGCAGTAAGGCAACAAGTGTGACCAGGGTCACCATGCAACCTGCCCGTGGACTCCTCTCCAGGGCTGACCCCCTTCCCCCCCACCCCACCCCGGGGTGTCCCAAACCTATCACCCAGGCAGAAGAAGAAGGGGGGGGGGGAAGGCGCCAGAGGGGTGGGAGGGAAGGGAACAACCCGGAGAGGATTGGGGATAGATTTCTCTTCGAATCCAGATTATGACCCAGTGCTTTGGACGGAAGGAAAGGGACGATTGGAAAGCTCTGGGCTGGTTGCTAGAGAAGCTCTGCAGCCGAGCGCGCGCGGCTGGCGGAGAGGGGGTACGGGCGGGGGGGGGGGGTCTCACCTCCTGCTCTATAGCCGGGTCTCTCCTGCGAGGCGCTGGGAAGCATGAGGCATGCAGCATTCACAGTGTTTTTGGAATAAAGACGGACTTGAAGGGGTTGTTTTTTTTTTTCTTTTCTTTTCTTTAATTTTTTACAAACACGCCATTGTACTCACTTATTCAGAGACGGGCTGCGCGCTCCCAGCTGCTCGGGCAGGCATTTTCCCCCGGCTTTGTTTTACAAGGTGGGGAGAGCAGGGCTGGACGCAGGAGGGGGGTGTCGGGGTGGTGGGGGGGGAGCGTGAGAAGAAACGAAATCCTGGGAAGGAGGGGACACCCGGCGGGCTGGGCAGAGGGCGAGGCCGAGGCCAAGTTGGGGCTCCGGGAGCCACCGCCCCCCCACCCCCACCCACCCACCCCCACCCCCGCACGAGCCCAGCGCGGGCGCGCGCGCGCGCGCACGGCCCTGCCAGCGGGGCCCGGGTCACCCGGAGAGCCGCGGACCCGGTGCGACCCGGGTCCCGCACCGGCCGCCGACGGTGCTGCCGCGGCTGTGCGCTCCGCCCGGGGCTCCGCGCTGGCCGGGTTGCGGTGCAGGGCGGCGGCGGCGGCGTGGGGGGCGATCGGTGCAGCCCGGGCGGCCGTGCGCCCCGGCGTCTTTGTGCGGGAGCCTCGCGCAACCCCTCTTCGCATGTCTTTGTGTTTCTCACCCCCCCTGCCCCCGCCCCCTGGCACAAGCCTGGGTGCCCCGCGGCGGGGGTGTGGCACGACGCGGGCTCTCCGCAGCTCCGACTGCGTCTGCTGCCTGCCCAGCCCAGCCCGGCTCACCGCCGCAGCCTCCCCGCCGGCTCCCTTCCCTCCTTTCGGAACTCTCTCCTCCTCCTCCTCCTCCTCCTCCTCGCCTCCTCCCCTCCCCTCGCCTCTCCCCCCACCCCCAAACGTCTCCCCGCCTGCACCCGCTCGCCTCCCCGCACCCTCTCCAAGCCCAGCCCTCGCCCGCTGGCCAAGTCTCTGTGAGCTCCTTAGGTCACCTGCCGCCACCTCCTCCGGTCAGCCCCTCCCAGCAAACCTCCCAGTGTGCGGACTCCATCCACCTCACCTCCTTCCAAGCAGGGGGTGGCCGGATGTTTGTCTGCCCCAGCCCTGATGTCTAAAGTCCCTCAGACCCCAGCAGGTCCGCCTGCGCCCCGGCCCCACACCAAAGGAAGCCCACCACCCCCGCCCCATTCCACCCCCGCACCCAGCACCACGACACCCCTGGAGTGAGGACCTGAGGACAGTGTCTGCACCTGGGGAAGGATGAGAGAGTCACCAGCCGGCCAGCAGCCCACACCAAAACCTCCCAGGGGTGCATGACTTGGGCCAGTAGCCCTGGATCAGTAGGACTGTCCCCGGGGTGGGGATAAGAACATCGTAAGAGATGCTGCTGCGGGAATGAAGAAACCCCAGGAGGTTGTTTTCCAGGCCAGACTGCCTGACTGCCTTTGTGGAGCCCAAGGTTGCTCAACTCTGGCGCTTGGCTGTGAGCTGTGGAGTCGAGATTAGGGGAGAAGAAGGGGGAGGGGGTTCTCAACTTAAACTTGGTGCTTCCTGCCCCTTAGCCCTCCGTTTTCAAGATGTCATTTTGACAGGCTAGAGACTCCCCCACCCCACCCCAAGTTAAAGAGGGCAGCTCAACTCTTGGCTTGAGGGATGTGTCATCCTGTCAGTCAGGATGGAAAGAAAGAGACTTTAGAGGCTACCCTTGCGAGAGGCGAGCCCTCTGGATGCATGCGGTGAGGCAGATTTTCAATGGATTTGTAAACTTTCTCTTCCTTCCCACTTTCGCAGCTGGGATCCCCTCTCCTGACCTCCACCTTCCGCCTCACGACCGTGTGAGCTCCTCCAGTATCTTCCCCACTACTGAGACGTCCTAGGAAAGCTGTAGATGAGGTTGTTAAAAGAACCTGGGAAACTTTTGGCTAAATGTCCCCACTGCCCATTATATATATATATATGTATATATATATGTATGTGTGTGTATATGTATATATATGTATATATATATGTATATACATATATAACAACAAATCATTTTATGAGTCCAATGCATGTTGATCGATTGATCATCCTCCATCCCTCCCAGCTCAGCACCTCCCCTCAATTTTCCCAGTTCCAATAATGATTTGTTTAAGATTTTCATTTTTCAGATTCCAGAGGAGATTCAGCACTGATGCATTCTAAAATTCATCCTGCTTGACTTGAAAGTTTTCCTTTACTTCTGCTGTCAGCAGTTACCCAAGTCCATTCTAAAAGATGACTCTAATCCTTCCAGAATTTCTCGGTGGCATACAATGTGCTTCCTTCATAGTCCAATTTCTTTTTCATTCCAGGCCAGTCTTGCCTCAGAATTTCCCCCAACACACACACACGCATACACACACACACACACACACACACGCACACACACACACGCGCACACGCACACACACACACACGCACACACACACGCACACACACGCACACACGCACACACACGCACACACACACGCACACACACACACACACGCACACACACACACTCCTTACACCTTGAATTGCTAAGGTCTTCCATTAGTTCTTTAGACAAATAAAACACACAGGTTCATGTACATGTACATACACATGAAAATGAGAAACTATTTTAAGGAGCTGGGTTTATACCATTATGAGGACTGGCAGATCTGCCTGAAATTTGGAGAGCAGTTCTGGCAAGCTGGAAACTCAGACAAGACTGGATGCCTCATAGTTGAGGCCAATGACTTTGTTTTCAGAAAGTCTTGCATTTTGTTCAGGATTTGCGCATACTCTAGATTACATACTGGCTGTACTCTAGAGTCATTTCCCTTCCTTAACATCAATAGGTTATAGTTGCTAATTGCATTGCTAGAATATCTTAAGGGCAGCCCTTAGGTTATAGATCAGTGATGCTTTAAAGAACTGGGAACTAGAACTCGGGCTAGGTGACACAGAAACTTTCAGGCTAGTAGATATGCCGTGGACTCCTGGCTTGTCAAGTGTCTTACAATTTGTTTTCCTGGTCAGTGTGACTTGTCTTTGTACTTGTGTGTCACATCATATTGTGCTTAAGTCTGGAAGGTAAGCTCAGTGAAAGTAAAACTATATCTCTCTGTGCACCTTAATAGCCACAGTAATGACCAGTGCTAAATAAGTGTAAGGCAAACATCTAAAAGAAAGCCTGCTTGTCCACAAATAACGGGCATTATGGTTCATGTGGTATCCTTCCAAGTATTTGGAACCAGGGTAGCATAGATATATGGGAAATTACATACATTTGCCATCTTTAAAATCACTTTCTACCCAACACAGGTTTTTTAATCCTATTTTTACTTTTACCATGTTGTCCAACCATTTGTTGGTATTTTTTCTTCCATCTGGGCTTCCTGTAAATATATAGCCACACCTTGCCTGGCCTTGCCCTGGATCACTGTAACACATGCCTCTGTGTGTTTTCAATGACCTTCGCTTACTAGTCTCAAATGTTGAGTTGCCTTTTTCCCTATCAATGCAATAAAGTCATCCTTCTTTGCTAGCTGAGCTTGGGGTAGGGGTGGGGAGTGGATATGGTTTGCAGAGAGAGTAAAATCAGTAAAGAAATTCGAAACTGTAATAGAATGGATCACTCCAACGAGCTACAGGCTAACCCTCACAAATACTCTGAAAGAACCAAGAAACCAACCCCTATACTGACTAGAGTTCCACGGTCCATGCAGGCCTCCCCTCCCCCCCCCCCCCCCCCCCCGCAGCCCCACCCTCCCATACTCCCATCCTTTGCACCTCCTCCCAAAAGAAAGCCTTACTTAGCCAAACACATAGTAAATGTTTGAAATAAGAAGGGAAAAGGAAGTAGGTTAGTTTGTATATCATTGAAAGTGGCGAAACAAGGAAATGGGCTGGTTTATCCTGTTTAATTTATGTCCAAATTACTAGATACACACAAACCTTATCAAAAGTATAGTAGAGAGGCTAGATGAATCCTTTTTCTCCCATTTTGCAGGACTATTGGGACTACCAGGGTCTCTTAACTTTGCATTAAATGGGCACAAATGTCTGAAGTATATGATAATAAGAATTAGCACCCCTAAATCTATCCTACCCTCATTCTAGTGCTTTCACATCTATTTCTCTGCTCTACCTCTTAGTATGAACTCAACAGAACTTCACTTTCATGTTTATCTTGCTTTTTGACCTACACAAAATGCCACTGTCAAAAAAACATTAAACTTAAAAAATGATCAGGTTTATCAGTTCAAACACCTCATGTCCCACAATAGATAAGTGGATCAAAAAATGTGGTACATGTACACAATGGAATTTTACTCATCCATTAGAAAGAATAATATTATGTCATTTTGCAGGGAAACAGTCGGACCTAAAACAAATCGTGTTAAGTGAGGTAAGCCAAGCTCAAAGAGACAAATGGTGCATGTTTTCTATCATATGTGGAAGCTAGATCTAAAATATAACTGGACATGATAACCTATACAAGACTTCAGGCATTCACACACAAATAGAGTAAAGGAGGATGCCCTTAGGGGAGTATATACAAATACATACATATGCTCTCTCTCTATATATATATACTGTATAGTATATATATGGTATATATGTATCTATAGTATATATATTATGTTATATATATTATATATACTATAGATAATATGTATTTATATTTTAAATGAACATGCTTGTCTTTTTTTTCATTGCTCCAATCATGTCTGAAGACCCTGTGGGCATCCTGCAGCGATCTACTACTTCTGAATTTTGTTAGTGTGAGGGAGTCACATTATCTTTCTGCCCATCTGTTTCCTGATCTATAATGCCGGAATAATTCATTGAGTTCACAAGAGATTATGGTTAAGAATCAAAGTGAGACATCATATATAATAATAGTCTGCTTTGCATTACTATAATGAAATACTTGGAACAACGAACCTATTAAAAAAAAAGAAAGCTTCACTCTGGATCACAGTTCTGGAAGTCCCAAGTCCAAAATCACATGGTCCCATTCTTTGGACTCTGGCTAGG